CTGACGACGACGGACTGCGAGTGGAGTGCCACGAAGGATACGTTCTTCCCTCGGGCACGGCGTCTGGAGAAGTGGAGCTCTGCAAGGACGGTGCCTGGGACCTCCCGGCCGACTTCAGGTGTCAGCGTAAGTATATGATCTTCTTTATCATACACTTTGTCAGCCATTTTCTATTCCTGATGCATTCTTGGTATGCCTTTCCTCTGGGGTTACTCCTACATTTCTCCTACCACCCACACAGCCGTAAACTAATTTGAATCCATTTTTGACGCACCTGGCCTGTCATGTCGCTCCCTTTACTAGCGCCAATTATCAAGTTCTGGCTCTCACTTCAACACTTCTACGCCTCCTTTCCTGTTGCCGCTGGACAGGCCTTTCTCCTCGCCCCCTCTCCTCACAAGTAGCATAGATTCCAATGACACCCTACTGACAACAGCGCTGATGGGAGCCTTTAACAGTTCATTCCTCGCTTATTCAATTTGGAAATCAAGTTAGAGATCTACATGGTTGAGTTGGCTGGCTTTGTTGCAGATGCCTTTTCTAAACCAGTCTTTCAGCTTCAGTTATTGTCTTCTTCCACTAAAACATAGCTTCATTTTCTCTGCTGCTATTTACGACTTTCCCAAGACCAAACCAATGACCATTTCATAAAAGCAGATACATATTTTGAGCAATCATCATTTATACATCGTCATTGCAAAGGTCACATATCTTATAGCTTCCTGTGGGCGCCCGGGCTGTCAGAATGGCGGACGATGCGTGGCACCGAACCAGTGCCAGTGTGAAGACCAGTTCACGGGCGAACACTGCCAGGTGCGACGTTGTGAAGAGCCCCAGGTCAGGGCCATCAGTGCCAATCTGACAGTTAATGAGACGCACCTAACGGCAGAGTGCGAACCCGGGCATGCGTTTCCACACGGTGGCACTGTGGCAACGCTGCATTGCCAGGACGGAGAGTGGCACTCTGAAGAGCGGGTCGTCGCTGCCAACAGCACTCTGGAGTGTACCCGTGAGTAATCCTTCGCTGACTTCAGTGAAGCACATTTAGATCAACTTCTTTTATTAAATAGAAGAGAGGCTTCATGTCTGAACCCATAGGTTAATGTCACCCGTTCTGCTGTTCTGTTCTGATCGGTAACTGCACTAAAACACAGAGAGGCTTTCAACACATTACAGAGCAGAAGCTATCCATGTCCCTATAATGCCTTCCCTTTTCACCCGCGCAGCTCAGGAAACGCCGTGTTATTACCCGTCAAAGACCTTCAACAACACGATCATGGAAGGGGATCTCTTCAGGTGAGGGCGAGCGATTTGCATACATCGATCTGCACACAAACTGATAAACATCTGCCTTTTTATGGCAGAGATTCGTAAAATTTAACAGAAATACCCCAAGGAGCGCATTTATTTGTGGCCCTGGAATGAAGAGCTGGGGGACAGTAGGCAATAGCATTGCTGATTTGCCATTTATAATTAGTCCATACCCACATGTTAAATTGATAAATCTAATTTTGTTGATTATCTGTTCTAATTTATGTGTATTTGTGGATTTCTATACTGATGTACGCAGATACATATACATTTTCCTGTCTGCTTGGTAAGTCTTCAAAGTGTGCAATATAGTACATTTGGAAAGTCGTCTTCATGTGAACTGAAGCTAATGTCCCCCCCCCCCCCCCGGCTCCCCGGCGCAGCCACTCGCTGAGGTGTCCGCGAGGGTTCCGGATGAAGGACGGCAGGGACGGCGTCGCCCTCGTGTGCCTCGAGGCCGAGTGGATCGTTCGGGGGGAGGGCCCGATGGCGGACATCGACCTCAACTGCTATCGTAAGGCTGAGACAGAGGGAGTGAGAAAAGGAAACGGAGGGAGAGAGAGAGAGAGAGAGAGAGAGAGAGAGAGAGAGAGAGAGAGAGAGAGAGAGAGAGAGAGAAAGAGAGAGAGAGAGGGAGGGGGGGGGCGATAGCGAAACCTGGACCAAAACTATCGTAAGGCTGAGAGAGAAAGCGTATGTGAGATATACAAAGAAGGAGAGAAACACAAACAAAAGGAAGGGGAAATAATCAGGGAAAAGGTTAGAAATGAGGGTAAAAGAGCGAGCGAGTGAGCGAGCGTTACAGAGAGAGAGAGAGAGAGAGAGAGAGAGAGAGAGAGAGAGAGAGAGGGAGAGAGAGAGAAGGGGGGAGGTATATTAACAGTTGAGTATATGTGCAATACAAAAATACAGTAATTCAGAGTCAGTGGTATATATATGTGTGTGTACAATATATAATTACAATCCCGGAGGAGAGATTTAAAAAGATTGTTGAGTGAAACACTTGTGTCTCAGAAGAATAATGCATAACATACGATGGCCATCTTCGACTTAGTGGACGCCTGCTCAATCCCTTATAGCCTCAACAGGAGTAACAGCCTATGTATCGGTGCATATTCGCCAGCTAGGAATTATAATATTGGCGCAAAATGCCTGTACCTCTTCAAAATCCCAAATACCTGGCTATTCT